TATGCCATCGAGATTTCCTCGGATAGTTATTCCAAAGTTGACACTTAGAAAAAAACTGACAAAAAGAGCGAAAAAGGGTAATTTTCAAATGAGGTGACGATATAGAAAATTGTCTAATGATCATGTTAGCTAATGCATAAAGCTCTGCTCACGTTCTATGTCTAAGTCATCATAATTATGTCAAATGTATCAGAATTAGTTAATTATAATGAAGTTCTCGAAGTTTGAATTTTAATAAATTACTTACACATTCATAAATTACCCCATATTGCGAATTAGCTATTATTGCTCGCTTAGCAATGTGCGTTAAAAATTGTGCAATAGGAAATTAAACTAGAGCTAGATGTCATAGACATTCTGTGAATTTGATACATGAAAATATTATTCATTCTACTACGTGTTTGACGTGGCATTGACTAAATATTACACAGCTAGCAAACGTGCACACTAGCTTAGCATTAGGCAGACACCGCACCCGTAGGATAAGAGTGCGAAGACCCGGTCTACATACGACACGACCCCCCCACGACAACGGCTAACTAGAGCCAGGATCCGAGTCTCAGAGACGCCCTCTAGTTGAGCCGACCCCCTCAGATTCGAGTGGTCTAGAGGCTCCAGGCGGAGAGGAGACTCCCTCCGTGGGGAGATGCCATCCGCCTGGAATACCTCTAGAGGCATTCGCCGATTCTCGGCTTGAGGTCCCCTTAGGATCTCGCCGTCCCCAAACCCGGTGACGTTGTAAAGGTCATCTACGACCAACAGCATACACACTCAAAAAAAATGACTAAATATCAAATTTTAGTATGCGTCAAACAACGTGGCATAACATGTCAGTTTTTAACGAGCATAAGTTTGGTGATTTTGTTTGAAATCCTCAATTGCAGAGGTTTGTTTTTTCAATTCTCAACAAGAAAATTAAATGTACACAGTAAATAAAATGTGCCATTATAATAAATTTACCGTAGTTGGGGCTAGATAAAAAAATTTAATACTTGTAAAACTAATATATTGCCTTATGAAAATAAATAAATTATCATTTTTGCTATCGGCAAGAAAGCTAGACTTGCCATTTATTTTCCTTAAGAGTTTCACATTTTTGCAAAAAATCGTTTTTTTTGAGCGCCTCGTTTACCCCCTTAAAAAAGATTTTGACTATTTCCAATAGAAGTAAACAGTAGATTTATTCTTCCTATTGTAAGTTAAAGTACAATATTTGCAAATACTATTTACCTTACCCACTAAAAACCTGACGATGCCCCTCACCTCACTCGGTCCACGGTCCCAACCAGCGTGGTTGAAACAACTAGATTAGGCCACGGAATACTATCGATATTATCGATACTAGCGATTGTTCTAGACTAAAGTTTGTGATTGACTATAATTCCTGAAAATTGTAAACAATACTATTGCAAATTGTTAAACTATCGATAGTATGGTTGCAAATAAAATCGACAGTATCGATACTATCGATAGTTTGTTATTAACAAACTGCAATACTATCGATAGTATCGATAGTATTTAACTCATCCGATAGTATAGGCTTTTTCTGTAAGCCGATCGATTGTCATACGATTGGTTGGCTATCGATAGACTATCGATTAATCATCGATAGTCGACTATCGATCGGCAACACTAACGGAAACCCTTACGGAATCTTCCGCGACCTCACCAGTGAGCGTCCGAGTCAAACGGACACACCCCTCTCCCCCCGGAAGAGGAGAGCGTTGGGGATGCCCTGGTGCATCATGGGCATCCCCAGCCATCAGCAAAGACCTGTGCAAGGCAGGATCTAAATTTCCCAAGTCCAAACCCCGCAGGCCTCTAAACTCAAACTCAAACTCATTTATTCAGTCTAGGCTGTTACAAGCTTGTGAAAGTCAAACGCTACGCCATCGGTTCGTAAATCTACGGCGGGAGACCTTGTACCGAGAACAACCGGCAAGAAACTCAGCAAGGGCTATTTTTTTCTCCCTGTTTTGTTTCATACAGTGTCGTCAATTGAAAGATGACATCAAAACTAAAAACATGTGTTGATATCATATTTCATCAAATTAATATTATTAATTAACAATAAGTTAAGTATAACTAACAATTTTCAACCAAATTAGTAAAGTAAAACGACTTAGTCTATTATATTAAGCCCAAGGTGCCTTATCATTTATAAAATCTTTAACGGTATAGTAACCTTTCTTAAGGAGACTAGTTTTTATACGCACTTTAAACTTATTAAAGGTAAATTTATTATTTCTTTTGGTATTTTATTATAGTAACATACACCTTGACCCACAAATGAACCAAGAACCTTTTGGAGTCTCAACGGTAGCAATTTGAGTTTATCTTTATTTCTGGTATTGAAATTATGTACATCATCGCGCCTCGTATATAAATTTATGTTCTAACGCACAAACAATATACAATTGTAAATGTATTGAGAGGCAACAGTCATTATACCTATTTCTTTAAATACATCCCTAAGAGAAGTTCGAGATCCTAAGCGGTAAATAGCTCTTATAGCTCGTTTTTGAAGAATAAAAACTGTTTCAATGTCAGCGGCCGTGCCCCACAATAGAATGCCATATGACATGATGCTGTGCTCTGCCAGGGAGAGCCTGAAGACGACGGGGGTTCCCCCGTCTCCTTGCCCTCACCCTCCTACGTCGGAGAGAGTCCACGTGAGCTTGCTCCTCGCGAACCCTCTCTGCAGCCTCCTTCTGCGAGATGACATCCTCGCAGAAAGAGGTCACGGCCTACCAAGATCTGTCGCTGCCCAGCATAGCATTTACTATGCCGGGCAGGGAGAGATCCCACCCCTATAGACACCTAATGTTGTGATTCAATCAGCATTAACAAAAAAGGCAAAACAGATAGGTCTTGTATAATTACTTATTATTGTATGGGTAAATTTCTTTTAGATTTATCTTATTTACAATGAGGAAAACGTCGAGAGCGAAACCTAGAATTTTGCAATTTTTATACGCAATATTCAGCATTAGCGTGGGAGAGGGATATTACCAATGCGCGACAACAATAGTATTTTCAAATACCTACCTACTTCTCAAATGTCTCTCAACTCGCGTAATTGGGCCTCCACTGCAGATTTAATTTGATCAGTCCATCTCAGACATACTAGTAGGTGTCCTAACCTTAGATTAAAATAAAAAGGGTAGGTACGCTCATACTTGCATCAAACAAAAACTGATCTCACGGCAGAGCGAACGGGACGGCGAGATCCGCGTCACTGCATTACCGACCCGAACGAAACAGCACGGCAGCGCGAACGAGACGGCGAGATCCGCGTCACTGCACTACCAACCAATCACGTGACCAGTACTCGACGTTACTACTCGTATCGAATAAGATTCAAAACAAACAGCATTTTTTATGAAAAAATATAATTTATAGTACTTACGAATGAAAAGATGCTGTGGGTTTTATTTTTAGTTCTTGAGCAATTTGAGCACTTTTTAAAAACACACTTAGGCATTGTTTTATCATATAAACACAAAATATTAGCAATATTTCTTTTTGGCGTTCACGTGTACGTCGTTTGCATGTCAAGTTGTGACTAAAGCGATTAGGGTCGTGGACCACAATTCATGCGGATCACTTTTGTGAGGCTAGTGCCGTATCTACCATTTTTGTTTTAATCTAAGGTCCTAACGCGTGATCTGATACCTTCCACTTATCATTTCATTGGTTCACAACTACATAAAGGGTTGCGATAAGTACACAACATTGACGCACTTGTCTCTCGTGACGTGACATCGTTCGCGTCTTTACTTTTATTTTGGGGACGACATATTCTTTTCAAAGAATCCAACTCGCGATCAAAATAGATGAGGAAACCTGCTTTAAACATGCAAAAACAATAAAATAGAGAGTATTTTCATTCTACACTGTTATTTATCTTAGTGTTTGCCGAGAAATCTTAAATAGTGACTTACAAATTAAAAATTCTAAAGATTTTTCGAAGAAATACGGGCTGTTTGTAATAATCATAACTACTGGTATTTATTCTAGTTTTTACTAGTTTCTCTTGATGAAATTAATGAAACACACAATAAATTGTTGTGTTAATTTTGGCTCTTAGTTCAGTGGGTATACACACATTAGCACATTTCGGGCTAAATGCTTGTCAACAGTCTGTCCTCATCACACTATAATAGGAATTTAAAGGACAGACTGATGTCAAATACGCAAATGTTTTAGCAAACACGGATAGCCCCGTGATGTGCTGGCATAAAATGTTACTGCTTCAAACATGAAAAATAATACAATAGCCGTTCTGGTTTATAAAAATCATTTTAGTAGTGTCCGACCGAAAGTTCGGTTTCGGTTTTGGCCGAGTTTCGGCCAATTTTGGGGGAAACCGAAACTGATTTCGGAAGTTGTCGTGCACGCTCGCCTTACTTCGTTTCTCGCACAGCAGTCCATATCCTATATTGAGAAGTGCAGTTTCCTATATTGTGATAAAAGAGATTGATGATTCTTCTAAGTACAAATACAAACCAAAGTATTAATTAATAAAATTTCAAAATACCAATGGGTATTTAATGAAACAGTAACAATTTGTGAATTGATTATTGCTAACTGATAAAAAAATGCTATGAGAACTTAAGTTGGAAAAATAATAAAATATTATTGATATTTTTTTATATTATATTTAATAAATGATTACCTACAACAAAATGAATATACTGTGTTTCCATTTCATGTCCTAATTAATGCTGAATAATGGGTAAAATGCACCAAATTTCAGTATTTTAAGGAATTTTAATCTTGACCACGTGATTTTCGGTTTCGGTTTCGGCCGAAACTGAAGCCACGGCCGAATATTCGGTTTCGGTTTCGGTTTCGGCCAGAAAACCAGTTTCGGTCGGACTCTACATTTTAGCCATTTCTACTACTGAGTGCTAAAAACATACGAATACGTTGAAAAACTCCCCAAAACCAGATTTTGCTTAAACTTAAAAAGAGAAAAGAAAGAAAAGAATACTCACGTAGTGTTCAGACCAGGTTCTACGCCATTGGAGTTGATGTACAGCGTGGCCATATCAGCCAACACACTTCTGAAGTCGTCTTTAATCCGTATGAAGTCCGAGGGTGGCATGCCTCCTACTACAATGGTGTGGGTCTCCACAGGCTGAGGCAGTTCTGGTTCAGGTTCTGGGAGTGGCTCTTCTTCCATGGCAACTGGAGGAGCTGTATAAAGAATGATAGAGAAATTAAAGGTAATTGTAAATACCTTGTTTTAAACTTTCATAGTGGCACTAAAATTATAGTAATTTACGAGTATGTTATTGACGAGATTGATAGCTATCTTTTTTAAGCGAGTATCCAATATTTAGGCACTATTGCAAGCGCCATCCACTAGAGAGTATATTATATGTTCTGTTTCATTGAGTAACTGAAGTAATTGCGGGTAGGATGTTATCCGCAGAATATCCGTCTACCCTCCAACGAATTCTTTTATTTCTTTCTTTAGTTCACATTCTCACTATTCACTCGAAACTGTTCTTGACACACAACACCCACAGTGTCGTGACATGACCCTTTTTTTGATAAATCTGGTTTTTGCACAGACAAACATGGTGCTGACATGAAACTTTATTTTACGGGCTGCCATCATGAGAAAAAAGTTGAGAGACGTGAATCGAGTGGAGTTAGTCGCGACAAAGTCAGGCAAATATGTGAAGGCACGTTTTCCCGAGTAACTACGAGCCTAAGAAAGAGATACGCCGACCCAACGGACGGAAGGGCCCCCGCACCCTCCCGGGAGTGGCCGCCGGGACCCCACGCCCCGGTCACCAACCGGCACGACGGTCCACCCCGAGATTATGCGTGACATGATGGGGCAGCCTCGCGAACTGGTTAGGAACGCTCGGGCCCCTGTACTGTGCCACGGGCGGCCAGCGGGACAGCCGTTTCTACGGGTCTCCCTGGCCGGTGGGTCGATGCAGTCCTCCCGGCATCGGTTCGACGGATGCCTCCACTGGACCGAATCTGTCGCGGCAATCTCCACTCGAGCTCTGGTTGTACGCTGGCTGACCCCGAAACGCGCGTGAAGCACTTCACGGGTTTTTCACCATGCGTACGGTGGTAACAAACCAGGCGGGTGTTAGGCACCCTACCACCAGAAGAGCAGATGGAAGCTCTGATATCCCTCAGTCGCTTCTTACGACACCCGCGGGAAGTGAAGGGGCGGTGAGTGGTATTCTTTCTCCGTCACCGCACGGATAAAAATACCATAAATTACAATAATTATGTAGAGTTGACTACCCTCAACATTGCATTGTCCAGGCTACTTGAGCACAGGCCTTCCTTACAAGCAGATATAAGAAGAAATCACATATAACTAAACTAATACTAATATTAGTATCAAAATTTCATATCACACCAAGCAGCATAAAATGAACTAGATACGTATAAATAAATATTTATAATACACACAGCCAATTGGCCTAGCCCCAAAGTAAGCACTGTGAGGCTAGGGCAACGGATAGAATGCATAATATTGTATACATAATAAATTACATATAAAAACAACATGTTTTTGGTACAAATGCTCGTATTTATCACACAAACGTTTGCCCCGTCGGGATTCGAACCCGGTACCTCTGAGTAGGCGACACCTTGAATACTCGTATACATACCACTCGAGCCGCAGAGGTCATCAGATTATTACAAATATATAGAAAATATATGCATTGGAATTTAATAAGTCAAATTCGAGGAGCTCGATGGCGCAGGTGGTTAGCGCGTTCGGCTGCGATGGTTGAAGTTAAGCAACTTTCGCAGTGGTCGGTCATTGGATGGGTGACCAAAAACTTCTATCTCGAGTTCCTCCGTGCTTCGGAAGGCACGTTAAGCCGTTGGTCCCGGCTGCAACTGCAGTCGTTAGCACTCGCCAATCCGCATTGGGCCCGCGTGGCGGGTCATGGCCCAATCTCCTTAATCCATCTATAGGGAACGCCTGTGCCCCAGCAGTGAGGACATTAATAGGCCGATGATGATGATGATGATGAAGTCAAATTCACTTACCGACCATCTTGACGCTGAATTGGAAACCTCTGAAGAATTGGAAGCCCGAGTTAGCCACGAACCTTACGAACATTCTGTCGACGTCCAAGAATCGGTATCGGCGTGGTTCGTTCAAGCGGTAGGAGAATAGCAAACCGTCTATTCCGCTCTCATCGACACCGCCTATGGTACGGAAAAAGAAATATATTAACAAGGTAATGAAAATCCAATAAACAGTCAAAAGAAAACAGCAGTCATTAAAGAGGATAAAAAAATGAATCAGCATAAAAGAAATAAATAATGATGACGATTAAATAAAACATTTAAAAATTATAAACGTTCTAAATAATTTTATTTTTCCCGTCTAAATAAATCTAGTCTAAATTCAAGTTACTCTAACTATAATGGATTTAGTTAGTCTACTTTTAATTACTACTTACTGCAATTTACCTGGTTTAACTAGAAGGTAATCTCCTCTTACACCATTGACAGCTAAATCTGTAACGTTGAGTTCGATACCAACACCATCGCCTTCAAATAACCAGTCAATGATATTATTAGTCGGGTAATTTTCAGGGTAATTCGGTGACGTCACAACCACCGGTTCGTCAAGAGATAAAGGCACGTGAATCACAGCCACATTCGATGAATCAACAGTCAATTCTTCATTATGAAGAATTTTAAATTGTTCCATCAACTGGTGGTATTGATCTGGGCTGAGGTCTGACACATCCATAGTTTTAACGTCATTAACTGTTTCTGTCACTAATTCTTTTTCTGCGTTATTTAAGTACATTTGAGGTCCTTGTTTTTCTGCAATACTTTCATCTTGTATTTTACCAGTATTCATGTTTTCGGAAATATTATCATAGTCAGTATCAATGTTGTCTTTCAATGAATCGGGTAATGAACGTCCAGTATCTACTTCTTTTTCTATATCATCGCTTTCTTTTTCTTCAGAATTGTTGGAAATCTGTTCATCATTTTGTATATTTTCTTTTTTGTTATTTTCCATATCTGATTGAGTCGTTTGTGTACTTTTTTCTTTGGTGGCATCACTTTGGTCATTTGTTTCATGAATTGGATTTTCATCGTCATAATAGTTATCACGTTGTGATAGTACCACACCTTCCTTGTAGGGTCGCCCATATTTTTCTTCATACTCTAAAATATCATCTGGACTCAATGAGTCATCTGCATTTATTTCCGATTGTGTGGTTAATTTTTTCCACGTTTCTATTAATTTTACTAAGTCTTCATTCAAATCTTCATATACTTTGTTAACTGTATCTTCATCTAGAATATCGCCAAAATCGGGTTCAGGATTTGCAAGTTCTAATTCGTCCTTTGTTTCGTCTTGAATTGTTCTAGTAGTTTCAGATTTTCCTTCATTTTTTGAATCAACATCATCGCCAGCGATATCGCTTTGTTCTTCTTTACCTAAAAAAGGTTTAGTTTCATTCAATATGCTTTTTTGTTCATCTATATCGGCTATAGGAGGCAAGGGCAAGCCTTCAATATTTTTATCAACATCAAATGATTTTTCTTTTGGTGCATCATCGAAGGGTAAATCATCATTCTGGTCATCTTTTCCGAATAAATCATCATAATAATCCTTTTCTTCGTCTGAAGCAAACTCAGCTGAATCTTTCAATTCGTCGCTGGCAGCTTTTTCGTCTTCCCCTAAATTACCTTCTTTGTCAATACCGTCAATATTTTCTACGTTTTCAACTTTATCTGATTCCTCAAGCTGCTCTCTTGGTTTTTCATTTGGGTTAATATAATCATCGTAACTGTAGTCCATTAACTCATTGGAGTCATACTGCATCTGCGAGGCTGAAACAAAGGAAAAGAAGTAATTAATTAATAACACTCATGAGGCTTATAAGCAAGAGAAAGTAATAATTATTAATTTATAACATAATGAGGCTACATAATAATTAAAAATACACAAGTTATCGTCTCAAAGTAAAATAAGCATGGGCAAACAAACATTATTGGGTTCAATGGGATTTTTAATTAATTTGGTTTATTTTAACATTTAGGTATTTACCAATTTGAAATACTAGATTTAGGGGTCGTTAGAGGTCGTTAAGGATTATGCTCGTAGATAAATGGTTGGTGTCGCTACACTTAGCGAGACGAGCGAGTGAAAATGATGACGTGAAATAGGAGGCAATATTTCTCCCTTTTCTGAAAAAAATACTCTCTCTCTGTCTCTTTCTCTCCCTTTCTCTCAACTACGCAAAGGATTGTGATGCGTTATTCACACTTCATTTTTCACTTCGGTTAGATACTAATTTTTCAAAGAATATTTATATGCATAATTCATCTAACTAATCTAAGCGAAGCGAGTTCGTTTTATATATTTAACTGAATACAAATGAATTCTGTAGCTAAATCCAGTTGCCAAAAACAATCAACTTATTATTTAGTCTACACAATAGTATGTGACATTACTTTAGCTCATAATGCACTAATGTATAACCTTGGAACACTCGTTAAACCAAACAATGGTACTTAACAATTAGTCTGTTACAGTTTAAAGCAAATCGAATCCTCGCAATTTAGAGTTTTCAACAAACATATATTTTATTACCATCTTTCATGTAAAAATGGTTTAAATACAAGCATCAAACTCACACCAATTTAGCCTAGCCCAAAGTAAGCACTGTGTAAGGCTTGTGATATGGGATACTAGGGTAATGGATAGAATACATATACTATACATATATAAGTATATTTATATAGAAATACATATGAAACATCCATGACTGGAGTAAAAATGCTCGTATTTATCACACAAACATCTGCCCCCACCGGGATTAGAACCCGGAAGCTTTCGAGTCGGTGACACCATGAAACCTGGCGTACAAACCACTTGGCTACAGAGGTCGTCCATCGTACCATATATACATATATCCATCGTACCAATATCGAATTCCAATATTTTGTGAGTGCGAAATGTCATTGTTAATTTTTATATGGAAACTTGACGTAACGAAAACTAAAATTCAAGACACATTTGACGTAGAAAATACATCAAATTTAACTTTTAGAATTCTATAAAAGTTCGGGGTAAGTAAGGATGCAGTGTGTGGTCTATAAGCGAATTTTTAGAGCGCAGCTAAATTTATTATTACAAAGAAAAAAAAACTCACAAACAGTAAGGAATAAAAGAGAGATTTTTTGGAGTTTATTCCTTAAGAATCGATTTGCATATATAAGGGGCCCGGTATGAGAAAAATGTGAGGAGTAAAATCTATCGATGAATGACATTAACGACCTCGTTACGTTTTTGTGCGCAACCTCATCTGCGCACCTTTCACTTTTAGCCATGGCAACGGATAAAAAACATTAAGTTGTCACAAATGTCAATAAAATAAATAAACTAAAAATAGATAAAATCGGAGCAAAATTAATGAAAACAAATAAATAACAGAATATAGAGAAATGCCGGTAAGTGTCCAGCATTCTGGAATAGTGATTTTCAGTACAGATGGAATTATAATACATATTCACAAAATGATGACTAGTGTGTGATATTTTTGAAATTGTGTGTTTCCAGAAATACATAATAAAATATATGATGAATATCGCTGATGTTAGATGATAAAATGTGTGACATGGAACCTATGATAGCCGAAACCATGGGACGATTCCTGAGGTTTCTCTACTTGTAACCGACTTCTTCGGACTTGATTTTGTTTTACTAGGTACTTATATAAATTTCTTGCATTTAAAATCTCAAGTGGTACCTATTGCCTTTTACATAAGCATTGGAAAAAAATACATATGCTTGGAAATGTTGGAAATCATTATATGTTTCCTTTTCTGTGATGTTTAATTTAATGTACGTTTTCATCTGTTCTCGAATATCTTCTTTTAATACCAGCTTAAATATCATACAATTCCTATCCCAATCAATACCTAACATGGGGTCGTTATGGTGGCCACTCACCATCATGCTGCTTGGTCAATTTCTTCCGCTAAGTGGCATGTCCTTCCAAAATTTTTCCTCACACACGGTCAATTTGCCAAATTGGTCCGTGCTGCGGGTATGGACTGAAGATCCATCCATATCCGTAAAGGTTTGTAAGACTTGAGTATATTTAATAACATATTAAAGGAGATTGCTCAAATTGGCCCAAATGCACAAAAAATATTGACATACACGGTAATTCTTGGCGTAATTTATAGTTTAATTTACAGTCATTAGATTTTAACGAACACCTTTGTATAATATATTAACTTTAAAAAGGACTTTTAATTTTACCGGTTTGGAAAACATACGAATAATTTTTAATGGATATGGCTGTAGTAACATTCAGCCAAAGACTGATCGAAGTTGTTTATATAACATAAAAACAAATCTATTTTGTAAAGATCGATAAAATAAATCATTTTTTTTATTACACTGTGGTATTTATATCCACAACTATATTATCATTTTCACTAGATGCAAATGTGCTCAGACAATTATTATTATAGATGGTAAGCGACATCATAAAGTCTATTGCCATAAATTTTTCGCCAAACACCTCCAAAAACACATTATAATCTGTATATAAGTTAGACTTTAAGGTATCTATCTATGGGCCTACGTTCCCTGACTATAAATTAATAAATAAATAAAATTACAAGGTGTGATACACTAAAAATCTAAAATATAGTTATCTTAAAAACATAACAAAAATAATGAAGCTACTGAATATATGGCTATAGAACCTAAATCTCTTAACTTTCTTTGGTTAACGAGAGTTTAAAAATTCTCTCTAATCTGTGGCTCATTCACAATCATCACACAGTTTCTGTCACAGAGTACCATATTATAACCGGAAATGACACCTGATTTTAAAAGTTACTCTTGTGCATTAACTTTAAAAATAGGCAACTGTCTGTTAATCTACATGCTCTGTATACCTGAATCTAATCCATAATTTCGGTACTTGGCTTGATTTCCCTAATTTACTATATAACTTATTTGTTTTTTATTATTTTAATATGTTCAGTGTATATGGTTTATAGAAGTTCTCAGGGGTGTCCGTCAAATATATTCGTTTCTACAGTAATTTATATATAATTTCGAATCTAGGAAACAATTTTTCATGATTATTGGTCTTTAGGTCAAACATGTATGGAAGCTGAGCAATCTCCTTTACACCCACATAAATCAATAATTAATTACGGCATACTGAATGAAAACAATAATTTTATATTTATGATGAACATGTTTTCATAAATAAATGGAACATGGAAATTATAGTGTTTGCAATAGTTATGTAAATAATGCAATCTTGTTGACGTAGAAACAAAGATAAATTTATAACCTACATATTAGCAGCGCGCATTTAAAATTAATACAATTAGGGCACTGTTGCAATGGTCATATTTAAGATGGGTAACCAAAATTGGTAGAGGAGCTCGCTGGCGCAAGTGGTTAGCGTATTCGGCTGCGATCGTTGAACTTAAGCAACTTTCGCAGTGGTCGGTCATAGGATGGGTGACCAAAAATTACTATCTCGAGCTCCTCCGTGCTTCGGAAGGCACGTTAAGCCGTTGGTCCCGGCTGCATCTGCAGTCGTTAGCACCCACCAATCCGCACTGGGCCCGCGTGGTGGATCATGGCCCAATCTCCCTATTCCATCCATAGGTAAGGCCTATGCCCCAGCAGTGGGGACATTAATAGGCTGATGATGAACCAAAATTGTTAACATCTTCACTTCGTTTCCCTGCAAGGTGGGCGAAGCATAAAAGCAGAAGCTAGATTTAAATTTGGACAGAAGTTAGTAAAAGTAAGTAATTTTTGCCAAAATCCAAAATAGTGGGTTGCGAATTTCTAAAGGAAGTGTATAAAGTAATGTAATCTTAGACCGTGAAATTGTTTTAGTTACACAATTAAAAAAACGATAATCATACTTAAGTGTATTTGTCATTGCTCTGGCTGTTTGATTATGTTAATTTAATTCAATTTAAAATAACATACTCGTACTAATTACATTTTCCTGTTCCAATTATAACATTATAAATTACAGTTTAATGGTGTCAATCAGGGTTGCGAGATGCAATTTCATATTTCTTTTATATTAATATTTCCCCATAATAATACGTTTTCTAAAAGAAAACCCCCATTCGCTGTATTACTAAAAAACTAGCAATTTTTACTATTATTCACGAGCACGCCATTTACGCTGTGGGTGACGGCCCAGTTTCGCTATTCTACCCATAGGGAAGACCTGGAAATTAGGCTTCCAGCAGTGGGCTCATTTATAGGCTGATAATGATGACGATGAATTCAAAGAAAGTCTGCAGTCTGCACTGCAGTAGACCACTGCAGCTGCGGCCTGTGGTCTGCAGGCGACACTACTAATTTCTATGAATCTCTATGAAATTAATTCCGAGCGCGGCGACATGCCGCCGCTGCACAATGCATATAATGCACGGTCAGCCAAATTGTCGCCTGCGGTTGTCGCCTGCAGCCCATTGTGGAATTGTACCTTTAAGTGGGGCACTGAGAGGCGTCGGCGTGCAGTTTTTATGTCATTATATACAGCAGCGTTGCGTCTCATGCGCCGAACAAACACGCGGAGAAGCAAGCTGACACGTTCACACAAATTATGATTATCTATCTATTATATATAAAACTCAAAGGTGACTGACTGACATAGTGATCTATCAACGCACAGCCCAAACCACTGGACGGATCGGGCTGAAATTTGGCATGCAGGTAGATGTTATGACGTAGGCATCCGCTAAGAAAGGATTTTGATCAATTCTACCCCCAAGGGGATAAAATAGGGAATGAAAGTTTGTATGAAACTTTGTCAATTTTAAAC